TGAACTTAGCATTTGCAGTAAATGTTTAGATACGCCTATTCACCCCCTCTAGGCATTGTTAGATCCTTTCAACCTCGTCGTCGTGGGCCTTCCGTTGCTTTGTCTCCTCGACTTCCATGTCGTTTGCGCCTCCTAGTGCACCACCGTAGCTATCTTCACCAACCGTCATGGCTGGTCACATCTCGACCGCCCCTTGCTGCTCCTCGCCACAGAGACAGATACGACATTAGACAGAGAGAGGAATAGAGAGAGAATGTATTCTTCATCTTCTTGCTCCCTTCTTTACTCTCTCCTCCATGGATGCCTGATGCAGAGATAGGCATGGCGCGAGGGTCGGGGCTGCCTATTGCAGTGACGACGTAGCCAGATCCTCAGGCGCCATGGGCGTCATTATGGGGTCCGCAAGCGACGGTGCCCACAACGCAACAGCCGAGGCCAAGCTTCTCGACGATGACATGGTGGAATAGCATCTTTATCTGTTGAACTTTTCTCCTCCCCCGCCCTTGATCATAGGTCCGAGAGCGGCCTCCTCGCCCTCCCTGCCCTCGGCCACCCTATGCCCGCCATCGACATTGCTCGTTGGACGCGCCCTCGCCTAGTGCCGTCTTCTGAACATTGTGTGCTCCTTAGAGGGGAGCACATGGGTCGATCGTGGCCATAGCTCCATGTCATTTTCAGCTTCCTGCAGCCACCTTCACTGACCGCCGTGGTTGGCTGCATCCCAAACGTCCCTTGCTACTCCTCCCCATGAAGACGGAGACGGAGGCGATACTATAAAGAGAGAGGAGGGAAAAGAGAAATGTGTGTGACTAACGAGTGAGGCCCTTATGTCAGTGAGTGGAGCGAGATGATTAGGAGGGGTATTTTTGTCCATACGAAAAAACAAATCTATTCGTGCGCATGCGTTTGAGCTGAAAAAGGCTACGACAGTACGAAATAGCGTGTGACACTAGAAGAGTCGTACCTGCATCAACTATATTAGATAATAACTAATGCTGTTTCTCAAAAATCAAATTTATAATAGCATAGTTCTGACACGTCAGCATATTTATGGCTTAACATATTAATTATGAAGAGAGATAAAAAAAACGTTACATACAATTTTATCTAGGTAAAATCCGTTGTCACAATTATACTAAGGTAGACCAAACATTAATGAATAAATACTGAGGAGTGATGTTAAAAAAAACTGATATAACAATTTTACTACCCGACGCTACGAAAACTCACCACTGATAAATCGCAACTAATTCACTACTTCACGGGAACATCAATGCTCCGCGTGCAATATCCAGGTATCCACGGATCACAGAGGGAGAGTCGGAGACGATTTGTGGTCTTTGTGCCGTCACATGAATGCTAGGTGGGCACAGGGACCGCAAAAGTTGACAGTTGTTCTGCCTACCGGAGCTGAGCCAGAGCCAGACGCAGACCAGACAGCCTGTGCCACTTCTCAACGCGCCCAACGCCCGGCGTTCTGATGATCTGATCCCGCTATAAATAACGACCAAACGCTTCTCTCCTCTCTTCTCTCCCCCAATTATTACCGGAACAAAAAAGAACACGAGAGAAATCAAATCCAAGAGACGGGGATTCCAGAGCGCCCCCCCGCTCGGGTAGGGAAGGGAAGGAAGGAGAGGCGAAGCGGAGCGGAGGCGAGATGGGGGCGGCCGAGTCCGTGCCGGAGACCTCCATACACGAATTCACCGTCAAGGTGCGGCGATCCCCATCCCGAGATCACGCTCCTTCTGCGTGGTCCTGTTTGTATTTTTATTAGTTTCTTTTACTGTTTTTTTTTCCTCTCGCAAAAGATAAATTTTGGGGGATTTCTTCGCGGAGCAGGATTGCAACGGCAAGGAAGTGAGCCTGGAGACCTACAAGGGGAAGGTCCTCCTTGTTGTTAACGTCGCCTCCAAATGGTACGCTATCTTTCCCTGACTGTCGATAGAATTTGTTCTCTGTATTCTCCTGGTTCGTGAGATGCTGAGACGGTTTTGATGTTCTCGGTGCCGTCAGTGGGTTCACGGAGGTTAATTACACGCAGCTGACGGAGCTTTATCAGAAGTACAGGGACAAAGGTCAGTTCTTTGCTTGCTGCTGTTCTTGTCCTGCTGTGCCTGATAATGGTCTGAAATGTGAATCTCTTTGGAAGTTGGCGTGTACAAGTGGGTTCAACAAATGATGTAGTTAGAATTGGAGTAGTGCACGTTGATGCTTGTCGGAATAGTGGTTGTTGTCTTCTGTTTGAATTGAAATTTCTGTTTGAAGTGGAATGGCAAAAAATCACACAAATTTTCACCTGAAAAAATTGTGTGATTAGTCTTGCCCAACGGAGATTTTACATTGTTTGCCACACAGCACTCATACCAAAAGCTTTGTTTACCTGTAGCTTATATCTGCGACTGTTTTTCGACATGTATGGGTTTTATGCAGCTTACATTAGATAGGCAGCTGGTACAGCATGCATACAATTTCATTGCATTCCCTTATCAAATCAGAGCGATCTTCCGTTTTCTGGAATCTGGAGTGCTTGGATAGTGGTTCTAACTTGCAGACACGTTTGGAGGATCAGTGAAGGGTTCTGAAAGGAGGCTGTGAGAACCCTGTTTTCCAAAGAAGATGTTTGTTTCCATGAGGATTGTTTCCCCAAATTTCTTGGACAACTGAAATTAGCTTCGACCTAACATTTTCCTGACTGACAGCCAATATGGGCACTGTTGAGTGAAACTAAATCGAAACTGCATGGAGTTTAAATGACGCTAGAATGATCACGATTTGTTGTTGCTTTGGCATCGAGTATTGTACCCACTTACACTTGCAGCAAATTTGCTTTAAGTTTAGTATATATGGCTATCAAGCAAGCCCATGTCTCTTGTGACTATGCCTCTGTACTTTGATTCAGTTTGCGCATGCTATTCCATTGAACTGATTTTATTCTTTAGATCTAACAGAAACTGATTTTACTTCCAAACTTGTCAGACTTTGAGATATTGGCATTCCCCTGCAATCAATTCTTGCGACAAGAGCCAGGTTCTAATCAGCAGATAAAAGACTTTGCTTGCACCAGATTTAAAGCTGAATACCCAGTTTTTCAGAAGGTGAGAACTGTTTGTCAAACATGCTAGCTTGCTAAGAAACTTTTGATCCTTTTTCTAAGATAATTTCTTCTGAATACTAGTCTCATCTCATGTACCTGGTGGTTAGAATAATATTGGATATTCTTTATGCAAATTTCTAGATGATGCCAAAGGCCACATGACAGAATACATGAATTTGGAAACTAACATCATGTGATACAAATAAACACAGAACTTGACGATGCATTATTATATTGTTTTTACTTTGGCACAATCAGACAAGTTTTAGTCGATTTGCACAAGTGTATTTAAAGATGCAATCTGCATCTGCATGTCACCGTCTAAAATTACAAGTAATCAGCCATGGTGAGAATTTGTTGGCATGCATATTGGTATTTTGGATAGACCTGACAGGTTGACATCAACGTGCAAACTGTGTTCTTATTGCTAAGAAAGCCGATTGCATTTTAAACTTGGGTTTGCAGGTGCGTGTAAATGGCCCGGACGCCGCGCCGGTTTACAAGTTTCTGAAAGCTAGCAAGCCCGGTTTGTTTGGATCAGCAAGAATCAAATGGAATTTTACCAAGTTTCTCGTGGACAAGAACGGGAAGGTCATTGAGAGATACGGAACATCGACAGCTCCAATGTCAATTGAGGTCCCTCCCTCCTTCCCTCACTCTTTCTCTCTCCCTTTCGAGACCTCTACTTACTTTTTGATGGGTTGGTGTTTATTCGACTTTGCAGAAGGACATCCAGAAGGCCCTTGAGGAATAACATCTCATGTCCTCTTGTCTCCTCATCCATCACCCACTTGCAGAAATAGTTACTTGCAGTCTCGCAGAATTATTCCGTCGTAGCAGCATTTAGACGTCTTTGCTTGTTTGTACAGTAAATCTGTATAATGCCCTCCTTTTCGCCTTCATGCTCATTGCGCTCGTGTTTGCGTTCGTGTAAGTATTGGTTGTATTAACTAGCCATCATCTTCTCCGAACTGTTTTTGCCCCCTTTTTTTTTTGGTCTGAAGAGTGAAGTCATGGTATATCGATGCACAACTATGTAACATTGGTGAAGCATTATAGTTTATTTAAGGTTTGTGTTTACGCCCATTCCGTTCCTAATTACGCTTGATGGCCCGACGGACTGGCTATATGTGGTCTCACTGAGGCTGGTGGTATTGGAGGGGGCATGGCTTGTGCGCCATATCACATCTGCACGCTTCTTCTAGACGATCTCACAGGTTGCTATCAGACCTTTTTAACGCTTCCGGTCAGGTCTTCAATGCTTCTACTAGGCCTTGTTTAGATTGTCTCAAAGTTCTAAGTTTTGTCACTCTCTCTTTATCACATCAATTTTTGAACGTATACATGGAGCATTAAATGTAGGTAAAAAAAAGTAACTAATTGTACAGTTTGGTTGTAAATCACGAGACGAATTTTTTGAGCCTAATTAGTCCATGATCGGACAAAGTTTATCAAATACAAACGAAACGTGCTACAGTGTCCAGATTGCAAAAATTTGCAATCTAAAAAGGCCCTAATAGACATTTTTAGGCCGGATGTCATAGCTAACACAAAGACAGCTGGAAAACTTAGATAAGGCAGGTTTGGGCGCGTAGCAGCGTAGCATTTCGGTCAGATCGCACATGAAACTACGTAAAGTATTTGGCAAGGGTTGAGTACTGAGCACGACACGAAAAACCCATACAAAAAACTACTCGCTGTCTTGCAAGAATTGGTTCGAGCAAGCGTGTCGCATTTGCCTTCTTACACGGTTGCACTCTTCTGTCACAATCGCCATGCCATGAGCTGCTACTCCACTATACTGCGGGTCTCGTTCACGCGACGGCACGCGCAAAAATACAAGAAAAATCTGACACAAGGATCTCCCCTGACAGCGAATTCCACCAGCTGAGAACAAGAGGGCTCAGACTTTATCAGAAGCATCATCCTCCGCGTCCTCACGCTGCTGCTGCTGCTTCGGCGGAGGCGTGCCCTCCGCGTTCCTGACCGCGGCCAACTTCTCTGCCAGTCTCTGCTCCAGTGCCCTCTGACCCCTTTCTCTGCAGGGAACGGACAATAATCGAATCAAATGAGATGCCTGATTGAAGCAGGTTTCACCAGATAAGAACATCAAAACTGACGAATGGGTACCAATCATTTCGTGATGCTGCTCAACCGGTAGGAAAGGAAACCAACAGCATGTGCTCTACCAAGCAGATGGTTTCGGTGATGGATGGCTGCAACGATGAGAAAAAGGGGGGGGGGGGATTCGCACCTCCTCCTGTTTGCCTCAATGGAGCCTGAACCAGGGAACCGTGACCCATCCAATGTCTGCTGGCCTGTGCCTTCAGGTCTTGCAGATCGTCCACAGAAAAGTTTGTGGAATATAGAAGCAATAGGGTCCAAAATTGGCCTGCGACATTTTAGTAAGTTTATGAAATAAAAAACAAAGTTTAGGTCTATTTATTTCTAGATTTGTTGAGTCCTGTATTGTTTGTATTCAGCAATCGTAACTTTCAGAGAAAAAAAAATCCAAGGACAATTCTTCTGCAGAACCTTGGAGCTAGGAATCCATAAAATGATATGGTTGGAGGGTTAGCGCTAGAGTTCTGCGTTATTACTAGGGGCCAGGAGCCACCTCTAGCATGAAAAAAAAATATTGGATGAGCACCTATGTCTGATATCTCTACAGCCATTTCCTAACTCTTTCTCTTCATATATGCTTTCGAAGGTAAGAGTTAGATGTTATGTTTAATTGCAATGGTAATCCAAAATTTTCTTCTAACATTTTAAATTAGGGATTCCCACATTGCTGAGCAAGGGGTCCTCTAAAATGTTCTTCGCTTCGCAGAATTATGCATTGCATTGCATTTCCCACTGCTTTACAGCAAGATCACTTGTGAAAAACAGTACCTTAAAAATCCAGGGAAGAAGCTTGAAAATGATAATTCATCACTTGGGTCCCCTTTAAGGCCTACTTCTAATCTCCTTTGGAAGTAACGCAGGTAAATCCAGCTCATGTAGATACCAAACAATATGATGGGAAGGTATGACATGGATTCCTTTATGAAGAAGCTTACAGCAACTGAGATAAATGCGACAACAGATGGAATCCACTGAATAAACAGAAAAAAATGTTAGGAAACCTTGGGAGATAATCAAAACTGATTGCCAAATTAGACAAATTTCATTATAGAAGTGATCGAACACCTTTGCACTAATCTTAAGCACAAGAAGGTTAAGCTCCTGATCGGGTAAAATTTGCTTGATGCCCACCAGTAGTCCTGAAAGAACTCCATAAAACCCAGAAACAGGTGTGTAACTGCAGAATCAAATAGATGTAATGTCAATTTTCATGGCAAAGTATAACTAGGCTGAGAAACTAATCATTCTGAACTGAATATTATGAATATCCACTATTGAAAAGAAACAGAAAACATTATGTTGCTGCATCTCCCAACAAGCCATCTAAACCTAGTTCTTCCTTTTCAGTTAGATATCCTATCATAAAATTGGGAGACAAAAACATCATTTCAATTTTCAAATGAGGGAGCTCAGCAGTCAGCACATCATTTCTTAGAGTACAATACTTAGAGACATTGAATCTGCAGGTTGCCTGTCTGGAAATACTTTTGCAAGTATGCTTAAAAAAATATTCCATAACAAAGTGCCCATGTAAATCGGATTAAAAAAAAACTATTTGACTAGCAAGCTAGTAATGAAATGTGACACTTACAGGTAGCTCTCCTCCTGTGTTATGTAGTACAGCACAATAGTAGTTACGAAGACACAAGCTGAAGTTGAGAGATTAACAATAAAAATAAACTTGAGCAACTCCTTAGCTCCCCATAAAGGCTCCAACACCTTCCCAAATAGAAGAAGACCAACTATGCTCACTATCACCTGGAAACACAGAAGCCTTGTAAGATAAGGGTGCCATTGCCTAATGTAATAAATAAGAGCCTTCACAACATTGTGGTGTGATGCAGTATCCTAGGTAAGAGAATAATGAGCAAGGATAAAGAGATTTCCTAGAAAACTGAAAGCCAACAGACAACAGAACAACATGATTTCAAATTAAAGTACACATCAAGCAACGTAAATCAGATATTCCTCAGGCATAGGAGGCAATATAATGGGAAACAGAAAACATATGAAATATCATAGCATTCCTCACAATTTTTTACGTGCTTAGAGTTCATCTTTTGTTTCAATGTTTGGTCAGCAGGACGTGCAAACATAATCGCGGAATGGTGAATTGGTATATTGGACTGTTGGAGATGTGTCGAGCAAACATACCCCTGGAATTGTTTGCTCAATATAACCAGCGGTAACCAGGTTCCAAGCAAAAGGGATTGTCCTGTACAGAGAACACCTCTAGTCAGTTAATCTCCTGGAAAGAGCTATTCATGTAATCTACTATGAAGAAATGGTACAATAAGGATCTCAGTATGTAGATTGAGGTAGTTATATATGGTCATTTCCAACAGTATAACATAGGTGGAAGTGCAAATGGACGTTGAAACTTCCATCAAATTTGAATCAAGCATTAAGTAATGCCATTTAGAAACCTTTTTCTTTTCTAATTTCAGTTAAAGGCAACTGAGCAGTAACCAAAAAGAAATGCAAATTAGTAAAATTCCAATTAAACGCAACTGACGAGTAATCAAATCAGTGTGTAGATTACATGAAATTGTACTTTCCCCATATAAAGAAGAGCATTAGCAATAACTGAATGGGAGCGCATATTACATTCAGAAAATTATTTTTCTGGTTTCAGTTAAACACAACTGAGCAGCAACCGAAGGGAAACGTGACTAAAATAAGTTTCCAATTAAACAAACTGAACGTAAGTTAATGGGGGTACAGAATTACATATTACATGACTGATCGCGGTTCAGCCAAATAGGGAAGAGCAGGTAGCTCGGCTAAGGCCCCGTTTAGATTGCAAAAAATTTTGGCCCAGCCCAAAAAATTTTGACTTTGGGCTTTTTGGAACTAAACGACAGCCAAATTTTTTTTGCCTGGTACTGTTCATGGTGGGGTGTTCGGCCTGGCACTGTGCGGTTTGGGAGGCGTGAAGGATGCCTGGTACCCCACACCCACCCCTTATCCATTCATCACGCTCGCCCGACACTGCCCCTCTATCCCTCACTCTCATCCACTCTCGAACCCTAGCCCCCCGCCGCCGGTCACTCCCTCCCACCGCCGCTGATCTCCCGCCATCCGAACGGCGCCGCGCAGATCCACGAGCTACACCACTAGATCCACCCCGTCGGAGTCCGGATCGAGGACCACCTTCGCGCGTTCGGTGATGGAAGGACACGACGGCGACGACATGAACGGCACCGGCTACAACGGCGACCATGGCATCGACGGCGCCGGCCACGGCAACGACAGGCGCACCAGGGATTTCCTGGCGCCCGGTAATCCCTAGGGCCATGCCGGCGGTAGCGGCCTCTTCCCCGACACGGCGCAAACCTTCTCAGGTTCAAGCAGATTCAACCAGTCCCGGCTGGGGTTGGAGTCGCTGGATCACAACGCCGGCGAGGACTGGCCGCAGATGCAGGCCTACGCGGGCTACATTCGGGGGGACAACGAGGTCCCCCCCATGGCTCCCACCCCCATACGCGTGACTTCCCGCAACAGTGCACGCAACCTCGGGTCGAACACTGCCATCGCCGGCGGAGGAACATCCGTTGGAGGCGGCATGGGTGGAACATCCGTTGGAGGCGGCTTCGTCCCTCCTCTGTCTCCTCCACGGGGAGGCGCTGGTGGCCGTCGCAGGGGCCGCAGTGCGCGTGTACGCGGGCCGGGGCCAGCCATTCTTGATGACAACTTCAATCAGGACGACAACACTAACGCCCCGCGAGTCCCAGTACAAATTCCACTACCTTTCTCCTTGATCTTCTATTTCGTAGTAGATCTGCTGAGTTACATGCATGTGTCTAGGGTGCTATATGTATTATTTAGTTGCTCTTGCTATGAGTGTTCTGTGATACAAATTTAAGCTACAACAATTGTAGATATTGATTAACCTAGCTTAAGTGTTTACCAAATGGTTTAATCTCTGTACATGTCGTGAACTGAAACAAGCATCGTTTAGGCTATGAAACACAAGGCCAACTGGACTGTACCGAACACTAAGAAGTTCTGTGACATATGGTGCCATGAAATTGCCATTGGCAATTGTACCAAGGGAGTCATGAGCAAGACTGGGTGGAGGGACCTCATATGGAGGTACGAAGCAGCAACAGGTTTGGTCCATGATAGGGAGCAGATTGCTGGTAGGCTAAGGCAGCTCAAGGCTCAATGGGCATTCTGTAACAAGCTCCGCTACGCCTCTGGCTTAGGCCGTAGCGACGATGGAACTGTTGAGGCCACTGATGCATGGTGGAAAGCAAATACCAACGTAAATGATCTATCTATCTCTTCTGAGTTTCAGCACTTACTAAGTAAAACATTGCATAACAAAGAGATTTCATATTGCAGGGGCAATCTGATTTGATGAAGTTCAAGAAAGGTTTGCCTGAGTACTTAGATCAAATGGATAAAATGTTTACTGGAAACACAGTAGATGGCTCCACATCTTTTGTTGTTGGTGACAGTGGTACTATTGATTTGGATGGTGGAAGCTCCGATGAAGAGGCAGCAGATGAAATGGAAGACCAGCTGACCCCACTTAGCATTAGCAACAAGAGGGCCAGCAGCACGAGCACCACTGCATCCAGCCCACGCAAGAGGTCCAAGAGCCCAGCACTGAGGGCAATGGACAACAACATGAGGACACACAATGAAATTGCCAACCGTAGGCTCTGCCTGATGGAGAGCATGTTTGAGCACAGGAAGCAAGAGGACCACAATTCACGGTCGGCCCTTAGCCAGAAGATAGACAGGGTCACCCAGATAGCAAGGGAGATGGGTATAACTGCACAGACTCCAACATTGTTCAGGGGCCTGTACAAGATCATCCACAATGAAAGTGATATGGACTTCTTCCTTGCCAACGGCCCTGAAGAAAGGATGATCATCATCGAGCAAGCTACGCCGGTCGACCCATAGACCATCTTATCTTATTTCGTCTATGAATTGAAGTTCATGTCGTAATGGTGTCCTCAAACAATGTCGGCCATGTCCTATGTCATATGAACTAAGTCTGTACTACATGAATGTGTGTTTCAACTATGTTTGTGATGTTTCTTATTTCAACAACTTAAATGTAGTAATGTTTGGTGAACTTCAAGTATGGTGACCATTTCAACTATGTGATGCATGGGTGAGAGTGAATGGCAAATGTCAGTGAACGTAGTCATGCATGACATGAATTGTAATGTGATTCATGACTGACTTTAGTCCTTGTTTGTTTGGATAGGCTGATGTTGTATCAGCAGCAGCAACCCATTGTGTAGACCCTTGGGATGTTTTCCAAGAGATGATGATGGCTGAGTTAGAGGATGCTGAAGATGATGATGCTTTTATCTATGGTATGTACCAGTATGCCCTGCACATTGACAAGCATTTGAATAGGGTTGAGTATAGGCAACCTGCCATGACTGGTTTGGAATGGGTACAGAGGAAGCTTGGGGATAGCAAGGCCTGTTTTAGCATGTTTAGAATGAGTCCACCTATGTTCCATACACTGCATGATCTTTTAGTACAGTCATATGGCCTGAAATCTAGTGCTAAGTCCACCTCGGTTGAGGCTCTAGGGATGTTTCTTTAGATGCTTGGGGCATCACAATCTTTTAGGCAAGCTGAGGACAGATTTGAGAGGTCACTAGGGACTGTCTCCAACATGTTAAACAAAGTTTTGAAGTGTATGGTGAAGCTTGCTGCTGACATTATTAAGCCTGTCGACCCACAATTTAGAACAATGCATCCTAGACTGAGAAACCCTAGGTTCTATCCCTACTTCAAGGACTGTATAGGGGGTATAGATGGGACTCATGTACCTTGTGTGGTGCCCAATGATAAGTTTGTGCAGCACTTGTGCCGCAAGGGCATGACTACACAAAATGTCATGGTTGTCTGTGACTTTGACATGAGATTTACATTTGTTCTTGCTGGTTGGCCGAGGTCTGTACATGATATGAGAGTATTCAATGATGCAACAACAACATACAGCCATGTCTTTCCACATCCACCTGCAGGTACACACCTATCAGATAGCACATTTGGGTCCTTGTTGTTCAACTACATGAATGTAAAATATTTTTTTGCTGATGTAGGGAAATATTACCTTGTGGACTCCGGGTACCCTAACCGGCTAGGTTACCTTGCTCCTTACAAGGGAACTAAGTACCATCTGCAGGAGTATCGAGATGCCCCAGAACCCCAAGGTAAAGAGGAGACCTTCAATTATGCACATTCATGTCTTCGGAATGTCATTGAAAGGTCATTTGGAGTTTTGAAAATGAGGTGGCGCATCTTGCATCAGATCCCTTCTTATGCACCCCATAAACAAAGCCAAATCATAGTTGCATGTTGTGCTCTACATAATTTCATTAGGATAAGTGGCATAGGGGATAGACACTTTGCAAGGTGTGACCGTGATGATAACTATGTGCCGCGAGAAGCGTCTGAGAATCAGCCTGACCCCGAGGAAGTTGAGGATGAGTCTGATCTGATGAATGAATTTTGTGATTCGATTGCTTATACTTTGCTAAACCGTTCTTGACAGTTTTGTGTGTTTGAGGTCATGTATGTGTACTGCATATGTACAGCTGCGTCAGTATAGTTTTGTGGATAAATTATGCATGATTAATTGTTAATTACATCTGTTGTGTCATTTAGATCAAACATGCATGTTGTTGCATGAGAGACAACAGCATGCATGCATTTGAAGCTTCAACATGCATTGGCTGCATGCATGTGTCAGCATGCATTGGCTGCATGCATGCAATTGTTAATGGTGCAGTTGCCAGGTTTTGGGAATGGCAGTCAAAAATTTTTGGCAACTAAACAGCAAACCCAAAAAAATTTGGATCTCAGGTTTTTAGCCAAAACCTGCTGCTGTCAGGTTTTTGGCTGAGGCTAATTTTTTTTGGCATCTAAACGCGGCCTAACCCTCCCTGTGGGATCAGGAGTCAGGGATCCGGGATCAGGAATCACAGTGGGTACCTGGCTGGTATCAGCGTGAGATAGGTGGCGGCTGAAGGGAAGAGGTGGACCAAAATGTGGACGAGGAAGAGGATGACGGCGAGGCCCTTGCACAGTCTGGTGAAGCCCGTGAAGAACCGCCCGCCCTGCATCAGCGAGATCGATCAGTCAGACACGCATAGACGCGCTAGCTGGTAGTATAAGCGATCCGGTCCTGCCGAACTGGTGCTCCGGGAACCCGTGATCCTCCGTTGTGAGGCCCGTGGAATCGTCAGCGAGGCGGAATGCAGAGGGGCAGGGTCGATTCAATGAGAAGGCGGTGGAAGCACGGGCATGCAGGGGGAGAACGAGAAGAGGAGCGCGGGCAGTGGAGCCATACCGCTGCGGGGGTCGGGGTCGCGGAGGCGCTCATTGCGTCGGCAGCGACCTCCCTCAGTTCTCCGTCCGTCGAAGGCCGAACCCGACCCGAGGTCACCGACACTCGTCAGAAGTTTGGCGGCAGCCGCGCTCGGGAGTCGGGACTCGGAAGGAGACCGCGGCCGGCGACCCGCGGGTGCAGGCAGACGCGGTGTTTCGCTTCTTGCGCGGAGAGGATCTCGCAGAAATGGAGTCGGCAGCGGAGAGCCTCCTCGGCGTCCTCCGTCGCCGGTGAGCAGAGGCGAGCGGGGCCGAGTCGAGCGACTGAGCGAGCCGGGGTTTTATGCGGCGAGGGCGATGGACGGGTGCGACTCAACTTATGGCTGGGTGGGTGGGCATGGGCCGGTCCGTGTCCGTCCCACTCGAATCGCAGGGGCACTGGCCGGTCCCGTCCGTTGGGATTCAGTTGGTTGGGTCCAAACCCAGTACGCGCACGCGCACAACGGCGAGTGTGCCCGCTCCTACCGTGACCGCGCGTGACTGGATGCATCCACCATTGTGTGTGAACGAAACATGAACGCTGCGAGTGAGGCAGCGTAGTGCGGCTACACGGGCCTGCTACCAGATCGCGCCACACCTCGGTGCCCCATATTGTCTTCCAGAGAATGCGAGTGCAACAACCCATACCCACCAGCCTGCTCCGACGTCAAGCGTCGTATACTCTGTATCGGCGAGAAGCTAGACTCCCCACATGCGCATGTTTGGTTCGTGACCAAAACGTGCCATGCCACAGTTTTTCTGGTAGTTGTTTGGTTTGCTGCCACAACCATGCCGTGCCACACTTTTTTAGCCCCATGTCCCACACGTCATAGACCTATTTTCTTGCCAAACTTTGCCACAAGTGTGACTTCAATTTTGTTCGCCAAACTTTCTCTGACAGACACAGTTTGCTGAAGATTAAACGTGATAAATTTTGGTCACCAAACAAACAAAGTCAGGGCGGCGGATGGCAATAGATCACCGGCGTTTTGCTTTCAGTTTGCTGCCCCAAGTCCAAGACGAAGTACCATACATAAGTTTATGCAGAACAAATTACAATGGTTTTTTTTTGGGCATCACGGACGTAAATACAATATTTATTTGACCCTATTAATACTGTATAAGAGAATTCGAATCGACATTAAGAGGCACAATACCCTTTACTATTTTTATAAATAAAAATATAAAACCCTACAAAGTAATCGGCTTTCAAATTATGTTACAACACATTAGCAAGAAGAAAGGTCTTGCCAATTCAGTGGACGTTGAGAGATGATACAAATTAATGGGGGGCGCTACAATTCCTACTTCTATATACACACCAACGTCCTGAAATCACCTGTTTCCTTTCCATTTTACATGTAAAACCAATCAAGTTGACGTCCTGAAATCACCTGTTTCCTTTCCATTTTACATGTAAAACCAATCAAGTTGGACATCAGCCAACGGCAACTCTGTTACTATTAACACAACGGAACACGTATTGTCAAGGGAATCATTTTCCTCGTCTTAGTCGTTGTTCTTGAAGAAAGAACCCCATTTTTGTGTCAAGCCATCTATCAGGCCGCCCGTCCGGCTCTTCTGAGCTACCAAAGTTGCCCTTGTGCCGTCCTCTCCATTGGCATTCTGAGTCACTTTCTGGGATTCTGCCGAAGCAGGTTTTCCATTGGTCATCTGAGTTGATGCCAGGGGCTCTGAAGAACCAGAAGCAGAGACTGAAGCACTGTTCTTTACAGCGTCGCAATCTGTACTTTGCCCTTCACTGACTTTTTCTCCACTGTTGCAGACATTCGTATGCTTGCCAGGAGCATCAAATGACACAGAGGATGCATCTTGCTCCGATGCTGCTGCAGCCACACCATTGCAGTCTTTTACAGTATCGTTCTCTTTAGGTGCAGCATCAGATGCAGTGGATTGCACATTTTTTGTATTTGACTGTTCATAGTCTTTCAGTGATTCAAGAATTGCTTGCATCAGCATCTGCATGTTAGCACAGCAAGACAAGATTCAATATTGATAGGCTTAGAAACAAAAAAGGATGAATCTTTAAAAAAAAAATAGCACATTCAGCATGTTAGCATTCATCCTTGTAGTCCTTAAGGCATTGATTTGCACATGAATGAGATATATAGTACCACACTAAAAGTGCTACCAACAAAGTTCTCTACATACCCAACAGCTCTAAGTCATCAAGTTCATGGTGCTAAGATCCCCATTTCAAATCGGAGTGCTCGTTTGCACCAATAGTCCTTAAGACCATCTCCAGCAGTTCTCCATTATTCACTTTCTAGGGCTGTTTGGATCGAACCCTCCCAGGCAGACTCACGGCCAGGCAACGATCCAGACCCCAGGCGACCGAAATCGGACGGCTAGGAACACACGGCGTGCCAGGTAAGTTTGCTTGGAGTTGAACCAAACAGCCCATATGTCCTCATTTGGAGGGCCATCCCATACCTCTGCATCTCTTATATCACCAACAGACTTTCTAATTCTTGTTCTCTAAATTCAATTGCTCCACCCCCCCCCCCCCCTCGTGAACAGATGGACCCCAGCTTCATCACTTGAACTCTCACGGCCAAATCAAATCCAGCACAATAATCAATCTCCCTCACATGGAGAAGGAACATGAAGGCACAACTCCACTAATAATGAATTTATGACCTTCAATTCTTGGACTCGACACTCGACATCTTCAAAATTTGAAAAAGAAGACAGGAGAGAGGCACCAGCACAACGGGGCTGGGGCCGGAAGGATGGAACCCCAAGCACGAGCATCACTCCAGCACAGGCAGACCGTATCCATGCAGTTGCCAAGGATACGCAGATGGGCCCGACCTGACTTGACATCGACAAGCGTGGCAGCCCGCAGCCGGCAGTCTCACTCCAGCCTGGCACATGGATGGTGCCAGAGCCAGACTTGGCAGGCAGGGCTCACAGGGACCAGACAGGGGGTGGGCACGAGCAACACTGTGAGGAGGCACAGTCGCACAGATGCTCAACGCAAGGACACCCAGACCAGCAAGGACCGCAGCACGGAGAGGGAAGAAGACGATGTGCAGTAAGGAGTCTTGGGAAGCAGGAAAGCTTCTCCGCAGGTGGAAAGTGAGAGAAGCGTTTTTGGGCGTCCAAACTTTTGAAGGGCCTGATGGAGAAGCTGATGGAGCGTGTATTTGGCCTGGGTTTTCCAAATATTGCTATTGGAAGCTGGATATTACATCTGTTGGAGCTGCTCTAATTAGTGTACCGTCATTACTGGACCAAAGATTAGTAAGAACTTATCACGGTATGACCTTATGTTTAATCAGTGATCCAGGCACCCAGCTCCAGATTCTATATTTACCCTCTGTTGAACTATATACAAGTCATAAGGTACTACACAAGAAAGTGAAGCATAACGGCACAACTATGACTCCGAATAAGGAATTTGAGGTATGACTTACTCTATCTTCATCTTCCACGTTGTAAGGCATATCTGACATGCTATCAAATGAGTACTCCACATACTCGCCATCATCAGAGGTTGGAGTCAGCAGCCTTCCGTTGCGACCATTGGGAGGAGTTGCTGTTGATACACTAGATGAGGAGGGACCAAGATCACTATCCAAACCCTGTTCAGACAGCAACCGAGTAAGAATCTGTATGGTCATGCTCAATAGGTGTAAACTATCTTAGCAAAGATTAGCATTTGACAGAACAAAGCATTTCCACTGAAATGTATCAGCAAAATATATGAAATTGGAAGGTAGCCCACGCACGTTCTTGAAGCAGATGAATTTGGTATAACACTACCATAACAAATGAAGTCTAATGCCCATTTTAATTATAATTACAACTTTGAGATAAATGGCATCTAAATTCCATATTGCATTTCAAATTTCATATGTAGCACACTGCACACTCAATACTGATTATATAATTTACATTTCATATAGTAACTGTTCAAGTGCATGGTTTTTGGAATCTAATAAGTTCGGGCCAATCAGCAAGGAATACACAGAAAGCAAGGACTACACAGAACAGGAAAAGGTAGAAACTACAAAGGAAGCTGGACTTTATAATGGTTAAGATGTGTGGTGCAACGCACTCTGCATATGGGCCTGTTAGAGCATCATACTTGAATGCATCAACCTCTCATGTCTTCCCTAAATACTACAAATTTAATACAAGTTCTTATTAGTCATGCCATACGCTCTGGATTATAAATTTTCGATGACACCTTGTCAGACCCAGTATGCCAGTAATTGATGGCAATCAAGCATGTTATATCTTCCAAATTGCAATGGTTCTAGGATTAGTATGAGTGATTTGCTTTCAAACTGTAAAAAGTCACAGTTAGGTATGATCAGATAAGAAACTTCGGTGTTACAAAAGAAAGAACATGCATAATCCTAATCCTAAAGGGGAAAGTACCTCAGTTCGATCAGCCCTGTCTTCAGTGGTGGCACCAGATGGGACCTGCAAAAACAATCATAAAAAGCTGAAGCCACACTTGCTACCTCATTAAAACAGAGAACAATGCATAAGGAGAAACATCTGGTTACTGAGGATATTGTGCCAAAATAACCCCCTTATCTCTTCCTTTCCCTCCATTGTCCGCCCATTGTTTGTGCTTGAGATATAAGTTAGGGATGTTTTGTTTGGTCATGTTTTATACAAGGAATGATTGCCCAGTAAAATACATTTAGTGAGGGTTTAGCCTAGTGCTTACCCATGTATCTAGTTATCTACTTAGCTATTTACTATTCACTGTCTAGCTGTTTTCAGGTGCCTTAGCATCCAAGCTAGCATCTACTTTATGCACTAGAATATGCTGTAGTAGTTGAGAACTTCTTGTATCCCAAGTTTGCTTTTCCTATATAATGCAATCAAATGGCTAAGTGCCAGGCTGCCCTCTGGCAGGAGAAATTCCACTTGTCTAGCTACTTACTTGCAACAATTGGTATCGGAACCTGGCTAGCAGAGAGCAGAGGCCATGTCCACCTCCAGCGAGCGCGCCCTGAGAGCAGCAGCCGCCGCCGCAGCCGCCAACATAGGCGGAGGAGTGGTGGTCAATCCTGGCGCCGATCGCGCTGAGCGCCTGGCCGCGGCCGAGGCCGCAGCCGCGCAGGCGATCGAGGCGGCCAGGCAGGCAGCGGCAGCAGCCCAGGCAGCAGCCAACACGGCAGCCGCGCTACGCGCGGAGTTGGAGCGGCAGCCCAGGGAGCCATCACGGAGCCCGGTACGCCGCCGGATCCCATCGCCATCTCCGGAGCGCCGTCGGGGATGCAAAGGCCATCGCGGGTCGCCAGCGGTCGTCCAGATGGACATCAACGAACCCCGGGCTCGTGCGTTCCTCAACACCGGCTCCGGCGAGGACAAGTTGGATGGCTGGTACCTCGACAGCGGTGCTACCCACCACATGACCGGCCGTCGTGAACTCTTCTCCGACCTCGACACCTTTGTTCGCGGCTCGGTGCGGTTTGGCGACGCGTCAAGGGTGGAGATCCAAGGCGTCGGCTCGATCGTGTTCCAAGCCAAGACCGGCGAGCACCGAGTCTTGCACGGCGTCTACTTCATCCTGGCGCTACGCAACTCCATCATGAGCCTCAGCCAGCTCGATGAGGGCGGGTCCAAGGTGGAGATCGACAAGGGCGTCCTACACATCTGGGATCGCCGTGGGCGCCTCCTCGTCAAGGTGAACCGCTGGCCTAGCCGCCTCTATGTCCTCCATCTTGAGGCCGCGAAGCCGCTCTGCCTCGCCGCGAGGAAGAACAACGACGCCTGGCGCTGGCACGAGCGGTTCGGCCACCTCCACTTCGAGGCGCTACACCAGCTCGGCAAGCAGGCTATGGTGTGCGGCGTGCCGGTGATCAAGCACGCCGAACAAGTCTGCGACACCTGCGTCACGACGAAGCAGCGCCGGCGTCCCTTCCCTCAGCAGGCCCAGTACCGCGCGCAGAAGCAGCTGAAGCTCGTCCACGGCAACCTTTGCGGGCCCGTGACACCGGCGACTCCAGGAGGGCGGCGCTACTTCCTCCTGATGGTGGACGACGCGTCCCGCTTCATGTGGGCCATCCTGCTGCCGTCCAACGATGCTGCCGCGGACGCCGTCAAGAAGATTCAGGCCGCGGCAGAGAAGGAGAGCGGCTGCAAACTCCTGGTGCCACGCACCGACAACGGCGGCGAGTTTACCGTCGCGGAGTTCGTCGACTACTGCGCGGGAGAGGGCATCCAACGCCACTTCTCGGCGCCTCACTCGCCGCAGCAGAATGGTGTGGTGGAACGCCGGAACCAAACCGTGGTGGCCACGGCTCGGGCGTTGCTGAAGTAGGGGGGGATGTCGGCCAAGTTTTGGGGGGAGGCGGTGATGACGGCAGTCCATCTGCTCAATCGCTCACTGACACGGAGCTTGCAGGGCAAGACCCCCTACGAGGCCTGGCACGGGAGCACGCCGACGGTCGGCCACCTGAAGACACTCGGCTACGTCGCCTACACCAAGGATCTGGGGCAGCTTCGCAAGCTGGATGATCGCGGCAAGCCCGGCGTCTTCATCAGGTACGCGGAGGAAGCCAAGGCGTACCGCATCCTGGACCCTGCAACGCAGCGTGTCAGGATCAGCCGCGACGTCATCTTTGACGAGGGGCGTGGCTGGGATTGGTCCACCCCGGATGCCGGCAGCTCGGCCGCAGCGGAGAGCGACTTCATCGTCGAGTTCTGGGAGACTGGAGGAGCCGGGGGAGCACAAGATGCTTCTCCAGTGGCGGCCGGAGCTACATCGCCGGTGATGGGATAAGTCTCATGTGTTGGTCTTTATGGGGCTGTGCTGGTCACATGGTCTTTGTGGCTGCATTGTCTGTTTTTAGGACAGCATCTTAGACTAGAGGACAGCATCTTAGACTAGCATCTAGAGGACAGCATCTAGGACAGCATCTTAGACTAGCATATTAGCATATGCTTAGCTGGCTAGCAGCCTATAAATATGTATCCCCAACCCCTCGGGTTGGCATGGCATTTTGTGTGAGTTTGTGTGAGAAATAAACCAGAAAATTGCCCCAACTCCTAGTGTCATCCTCTCTCGATGCGAGTAAGAATTCTGCTACTACCGAGAGTGAGAGTTCAACGACTAACAGCCGGCGCCATCACACTCTGCATCGCGCTCGCCGTCACCAAATCCGGGGGAGCTCGGAGGGACATCGGCAGCAGCGGTCGCTCCTCCAGCACCCCAGCCGGCCTCGCCAACGCCAGCATCCCCTGCTGCTCCTACTGCTTCAACGGCATCACCAACGGCAGCGGATGTGGCTGGAGACCAAGTGGAGTTTGCCACTCCACTGGAGGATGATGAAGACAGACTCGACGCCTACTACGACGACGAGCCGCTGCGATACCGCCCGATGACGAACATCATCGGTGACCATCCTCCGCCTCCGCCGCCTCAACGCCTCTTCACCGAGCTTCACCTCACACACACCAGCGAGCCTGCCAACTACACCGAGGCCAAGGATGATCCGGCATGGCGGGCGGCAATGGAGCAAGAGCTCAAGACGGTGGAGCGGAACCGGACCTGGGAGCTGGTGCCGCTCCCTGCCGGTCACCGGCCCATCACCCTAAAATGGGTATTCAAGCTCAAGAAAGATGAGCTAGGCGCGATGACCAAGCACAAGGCAAGACTCATGGCGCGCGGCTTCGTCCAGCAAGAAGGGGTGGACTACGACGACGCGTTTGCTCCGGTGGCGCGCATGGAATCCGTCAGGGTCCTCGCGCTGGTGGCTCAAGAAGGCTGGCGTGTCCATCACATGGATGTCAAATCAGCCCTCCTCAACGGCGACCTCAAGGAGGAGGTATACGTGCAGCAGCCGCCCGGCTTCGCCATCGCCGAAGAAGAGGGGAAGGTGTACCACCTCCACAAGGCCCTCTACGGCCTGCAGCAGGCTCCGCGCGCCTGGAACGCCAAGCTGGATGCCACACTCAAGGAGATGGGCTTCCAGCAAAGCGCTCACGAGGCGGCGATGTACCGGCGGGGCAGTGGACGCTCTGTCTTGCTCGTCGGCGTCTACGTCGACGACCTGATCATCACCGGCACACAGGATCGAGAGGTGGAGGCGTTCAAGGTTCAGATGAAGACCTTCGACATGAGTGACCTCGGCCTCCTCAGCTTCTACCTCGGCGTCGAGGTGCATCAAGATGCCACCGGCATCACCCTCCGTCAGACACATTATGCCAAGAGGATTTTGGAGCTCGGCGGAATGGCTGGTTGCAACCCTACCCATACTCCAATGGAGGAGCGGCTGAGGCTTAGCAGGCACAGCACGACGACGGAGGTCGATCCTACACACTACTGGCGCCTCATCGGCAATCTGCGCTACCTGGTGCACACTCGCCCCGATCTGGCACTCGTCGTTGGCTTCGTCAGCCGGTTCATGGAGCGGCCTACGGTGGAGCACCAACAAGCTGTCAAGCGCACTCTCCGCTATGTCGTTGGCACGCTCGACTACGGTCTGCACTTCACCAAGGCGCCCGGCTCCGCTCGCTTCGTCGGCTACTGCGACAGCGACCTCGCCGGCGACATCGACACAAGCAAGAGCATGAGTGAAACACTCTTCTTCCTCGGCAATTGCTTGGTCAGCTGGCAATCAATCAAGCAGAAGTTGGTGGTGCTCTCCAGCTGCAAAGCAGAGTACATTACCACCTCTACTGCTGCAACCCAGGCTCTGTGGCTCTCGAGGCTGCTAGCAGAGCTCCTCGGCAGGCATGTCGAGGTGGTGGAGCTGAAGGTGGACAGCAAGTCGGCCCTCGCTCTGGCCAAGAATCCAGTCTTCCATGAGAGGAGCAAGCACATAAGGATCAAGTACCACTTCATCCACAGCTGCCTGGAAGATGGAAGCATCAAGGCCGATCACATCTCAACTACTAATCAGCTTGCAGACATTCTCACCAAATCCTTGGGCAGAGCCAAATTTGAAGAGATGAGGGAGAGAATTGGTCTGAGGCAGATCATCCCCAAGGCAGGGCACAAGGCTAAGGGGGGGAATTGAGGGTTTAGCCTAGTTCTTACCCATCTATCTAGTTATCTACTTAGCTATTTACTATTCACTGTCTAGCTGTTTTCAGGTGCCTTAGCATCCAAGCTAGCATCTACTTTATGCACTAGAATATGCTGTAGTAGTTGAGAACTTCTTGTATCCCAAGTTTGCTTTTCCTATATAATGCAATCAAGCGGCTAAGTGCCAAGCTGCCCTCTGGCAGGAGAAATTCCACTTGTCTAGCTACTTACTTGCAACATTTAGCAAAAGTATTAAAAAGTGGACGGAGTAAATTAGTTGATAGTATTTGGAAGCATAAGTGTTTATTTAAGAAAACATTTAAGAGTATCAACCAATTGAAACACGCACCTCCATTCTACTCATGAGCCTTCTAGAACGCAACTGTGCAATGGCATCTTCGGTCGTAGTCGCATGGGCTGTGCCTGAAACAAATCACATAGGTTCTTGGCTTCTTGCTATTTGTCGTAACAAGTGAAGATCAAATTTTGCAAATAGTACCTGTAGGTGATTGAGAGAACCTATACTCTATGTCATGTTCTGTATCCCAATGACCCTATCAGCAGAACCTAAGGTAAGTAAAGCCAACACAATTCAACCAGATGTGAAGAACATTGTTATACTACCTGACCAAGGCCACCATGTGGTGTCAGGAAATAATGATCCTCTGCCACTTCAGGAGGGTTTAGCACATTATGGAAAAATATAGTGATTGAGTCAAAGTAAAATTGAGGACGTGGTGAATTGTGGTCACCATCAAATTTTATAATGTTTTTGTCACCCTGCAGAATTTGGAACAACCACATATTACTAACTTCACAGACAAAAGGTCAAGTGTGGTTAACATTGAAGGGAAAGATGGAAACTTACAATATATGATTCATATATCTTGTCTGAATGATGGGGAAGTATAAAATCATCCTCAGTTGCATGTCCAAACAAAGCAGGAACAAAACATCGTTTTGCTACCTGCAAGATTACATTTCCGGTAGAAAATACACATTAGCATGGCTTCACAACAGAACCAGAAAAATGAGGCATTTCAGATAGTCCATCTTGGGACCATCCCATGAATTTTGATATTATACAAAGGCCTATGCTTGGGAGGGACAAGGTGGTGATGAATCAAACTCTTCAGTTCCTAACACCAAACAGGTGCTATTCAGAGCTAAGATTTGATGATCCATCACCATCCTATTCAACACCAAACAACCTATATATGTTCTGACTTCTGATGATCTGTTGCAGCATTATTGAATAAGCTTGCATAGTTTAGTGGGCAGTCATAAGAGAAACAGCCTATATAGTCTCCTTGTTTACTGAAGGTCACGAGGTGAGAAGAAAACAAGGGAAAAAGTGAAGAAAGGATGTATATAAGCCAACCTAACAGTGTAGGATGTAGTCATCCAATGTAAAGGACAAGAAAATATCTTTAAAAAATCTCCTAGTAGCTAATAGCAACTAACAATATTTGAGAAAGAGCTGAGAATCAACAAACATCGACCAAGGAAAAAAAAATGCAACATACTGAAAGTCAAGTTTTGGGAACAACATGAAATTTGACAGTGTGATATCAGAAAATATTCCTCAAAACCCTAATGGCTGACACGATATCAATATTTAATGCAAGCAAATAGCTTTATATATAGAAATAATAACCTGAATGGTATCAAGATCCATGATGTCAAAACTAGCTTTCTTCTTGACAATCTTTCGCATATGCTGTATTGCAAGTTTGACCTAAGCAACAAGCAGAAGTACCACAAAATTAAATGTGATATACTCTATGCAAGAAAAGCTGCAGATAGAAGTCAACTGAAAGTGATATACAGTTGTAGTTTCAAAAAACTAGAAGTTAAAACTATGAATCCTGGTGGTAAACAGAAGGGTGGAAAGTAACAGAGATATGCAGCATCAGAATTGATACACTAGTGGATATAGGGCACACAAATTGGAGTCTGAGATTGCAGAGGTCATGCACGAGTCCAACAGGAGGTTTGCAAACCACATAGTCCTACTCCTAGGCCAACAAGCCCATCGACACATCAACTAAAAGTAACAATGGCGAGTCCTTATCGTCAAATTGTACTTACAGTGAATTTTGGCAGTGGATATTTGTAGGTGTCCACTAGCTCCATCATTAAGTCAACCAAGTTGGAAAATGGGCTATCAAGAACCATTCCTGCAATTGACGGATCCTCCGCTCCATACATTAGACTGAAAATAATAAAGATAAGAGTTAAAGGATGAATGTGCCTTAAGAGGTATCAAAGATGTATAGGCAGGGTTCAAAGCATGGAAACACACATGGAGGAGGGAAATGTTACATATATTGTTTTAAAAAGAAGATGAATGTCAGGTACAAACTTAAAAATAAGCAAGTGATTTTTTTTGCACCACCAGCTAAGATAGCATGATATGTCCCCTAGTATGCCATATGTGCTCTTTGGCAGTGGCAACAAAACTGAGCTGTGGAGACAAAATCCTAATAGTTTCCCCTTATTTTATATTTTAATTATGATGATAAAGGAGAAAAGGTCCATTCTCTTAGGAATGTCGGACGTGTCATATTTTAATTCCTGGCCAACAGAATGCTTCAGGCCAAACACACCAATCAGATTTACAACCAACAGCGGTCTAAACCTAAATCATATTATGGCTGTACTAAGCTGAACTAAGTACTATCACGAATTACTTCAAGACCAGATTCATTTAAACACAAGGAATTACCTTGTGACCGCACCCATTGAGCGACCCCACAAACCAATGCAAGATACATTCCCATCTGTTCGCAAATAGTTAACCACAGCTTTCAGATCTTCTCTCTGTTAAACAAAGGAGAGTCCATCAGCAGGTGCTCTTTGATAACAACAAAACCATTTACAAAAATATGCTGTTACTAAGATATTTACTTGGTGAAAATATGCCATGACAGAGACATGTTACTTCAGAACACAAGAGTGAGAAACAAAGGGGTCAAGGGGTGGGAACATATAATCAGGTGGCAAACAGAAATCGCTCCATGCTATAGCTTTGATTAGTCTTCTACGCAAAGATTTATGATGTTTCTTCAGATACTTCTGAATAAAAATCAACAAATGCCAAGATATTTCATACAATTTGTTTCTCAAGTTTCCTGGCCATATTTCTACAAAGACTGAATGCAACAACTATACAAGCAAACTGAATCTTCATAATAAGAACAAGTTTAGTTTCTATCCTCTATAAGCACAAGAACTCACTTCATTCCAGCCTAAGGTGACATGCTCTCCTTCAGAGAGTCCAGACCCTGAAAAGTCCAGTGTAAAGACTGTAATGTTTGACGGTAGAAGAATAATAGCGGCTTCACTAGCATCAGCTCTGCACCCACTGGAAAATAAATAATGTAGATCAATTAACACAAAGCCAACAGAACTACAGAAGAGATAAATATCATAACAAATGTATAAGGACTGGGCTTTGACTTTCTTATAGGTGACATACCATTTTCACTAGCACACATTAACAAATACTATAATGTTGACGTGCATATAGCCTTACCTGTTTCCATGACAATATATGACACAAGGAAGAGCTTTTCCTTCAGGAATCACAACAGGCATGTAGTGACTACACTGCAACGTTTTGCCCTGGCCATTTTTTACCTGGACAAAAATACAGAGAACATTTAATCAAAGAATCCAACTGAAGAAGAACCCAAGTTTATCCCTGTCGGTATTAATCTTTCTGATCATTATTCTGTAATGTATAAGCCATCTAACAAAATAACAAAAGGGTGAAGGTCAGTTTCAGTGTAAGATTACAGTATCACAGCAAAACAGCAACTAAGGACAGATGTTATGAGGCAGTTAAATAGCTAATAAAATAAAGAATGTAACTATCATGTAAATATCGCAATATCGCATCCACCAACCATGGTAGCATATGTCCAAAAATCAATTGCTGCATATCAACGTTCTACAGTCAAACAAACTAGAAATCACTTTCCATGAATCAAAACACATAACCACTTAAAAGCACAGTTAACCCATTTATATTGAATAAACAAGCAGAAAACTTTCATTTAGACATCAATATCTACATTGCCACACATCCATGGAACATTTCAATGTATGGATCCACATATTCTATTATCCCCTCAAACAATACTGATTATTCCTGCATATCCAGAAACGTAAACATAATGTACGAGATCCTAAGTTACTCTGGCATTGCAACATTTTGGTGTTTGTCTAGCAGGTTTGCTCATTCACAATACACGAGACCTTTGTTCCCAACAATAGTGCAAAAGGTACTAGCACAGAGGAAAGATTTAGAGGTTCATGGACTGGTTTTAGTCTGTTATCATCATGATGCAGCATATATAGAAAATCTGACCTCCAAATCCTTCCTCAGGAACCATCTTCCCTTCAGCATAAACTCCTGCTCTAATAGATCATCATTTGGACTGTAGTCAGCTCTGTCATGCAATGAAATGGCAGACCATCATCAATAACAATAAGAGTGAGGATAAGAGTGCAGATGCCACACCAATAAGACCACAAAAGCAATGCATTCAATACCATTTTTAACATAGGATTGATCATGGGTAATAGGTATCTTGTGAGCTCAGTTCACTGGCAAGTATGCCAGCCTCACAAGACAAAATACACGCATTAACAGAAATCCTGTTAAAATAGGATTCACTATCTAGATGGATGTCCGTCTATAACTTCCCCCTCATGTCATGCATTCTCTCTCACATTCTTAAAGATACTGAACAGCATTTGTACTTGCACTTATAAATCATATAAAAGACACAGGAAAACTACGAGCTAACGGCTACTGAGCTGAACCAAAACAACAAGACTACCGATTGCCAGAGCATCCAAATCCGGTAACCCACACAAGGAGCAAAACCAGCCACCCGGATGAACCGAATTGCAAGCCGCGCATACACAAACACTGTCACCATCCTACATAAGCTCAAGACCAGCCTCCTAAATTGCGCGGCGTGGGGCACAACCCACGGACCGCCTGCCACCCCGAAATCCGATCCCACTGCCGTGGCCCTACAACCCCGACCGACCCGGGAGGGCCAGAGCGGAGGCAGCGGCACCCACCGCCCATCCACCCCCACCAGAAAACCCTCTAGCCGGCGCGGCCCAGATCCAACCCCACAGCACCCGAATCACGGCGGCGGGGGCACGGGGAGGGGGAGCTCTCACCTGGGCGGGCGGATGATGAAATTGACGAGCTGGTCCATCGGCGGCGTGGGCCGAATCTCCGCGGCGAGAGACGCAGGGCGCGAGATGGGGGGATTCGGTAGACGAAGCAAGCAAGCTTTGCTTTCTCTGATTGCTTCTCTTCTCGCCACCTCTTTTTAATTGCTTCGGTTGCGGTGAACGGGGTGGGGGTGCCTTGCGTTTGCGTAGCTGCCTTCCCTTTTCCGGGCTCGGCGGCTCGGCCTCGGCAGACGGCGACAGCGCAAGGCTGGGGACTCGGGAAGGCAACGAATGGCGGTTTTCGCGTCTGGGACCCTTGCTTCTTCTGTTTTTTTGACAGTATACTGCGCCATTGGTGCTCCCGGGCGAACTTTTTTTTTCAGTTTGCCGCAGTTACTTGTCTTCATTGACCGCGCTTTTTTTCATTTGCGACTTTCAAATTTCAGGTGCGGTTTTCCGGTTCAGAATTCAGATATTCCTAGCGGTCGCTTTCAAATGACTTTGCAAGATTCTGCGAACGCTCAAAAGTACATTTTACCCAGACAAAAAAAAGGATTGCCTCATTTTAGTGTTTTCATTTATATATGGTGCTCATGAATTGAATATTAAAATGGGTAATGGTTTTGCCGTTTTGGACCACACGTGCGGCATGGCACGGCCCTACGTACGGGCTACGGCAGGATATTTGCTCTCATTTATGGCTAGTTGGCTACTGGAGTCCTACTACTCCTACTCAGCGGTTCATCTTTTTGGAAACAGGAAGTTTCCTGTTGGGGGAATTGAACTGCTTTCTTGTGAATTTGTACTCCCTTGTTTCAATCAGCCTGTTCGCTTGCTCGTATACGATCATGGATTATAAGTTAGAACAGTATTTTTCTCTCACACCAAATCAGCCAGCAGTACATAATCCATGATCGTTTACGGCCTGCCGAACAGGCTGAATATTTCGGTCCTATACTTCTGTGTTTCTCCTTTTCATAGTATTTCGGTTACGACGAGACTTTGATTGATTGATGATGATTACACCAAAAGAATGTCATTTAGATTTAGTGTAACTCAAGTTATTTTGAGTTTAGCTAATTTACATAAAAAAAAAGTATCGACAGTTATAATACTAAGTAGATATACTATCAAATTGTATTATACAATGAATCTAATGATATCAAACATAAGTACAGAAATTTTATTTTCCATAAAGCTCAAACTACGACTTAGTGTTGTAGTTAGAGTTGCATTTTTTGGAAAGGGGGGTGTACTATATTAATGTTTTATCATAAACTTTAAATCATAGTTAGGTATTTTATGTAAAAATATAACTGCATCAATCTTGGGTCGCAAAAGTTATATATCCAATCCAATAGAATGACAATTGGTCAAAAACTTGTCTATCAAGGTGCAATAAGCATTGTGATTTCAAAAAGAGGGAGTGCATCCTCGGATGAGTACACACTCAAAAGAAAGTTGTTGATTATTCCAAAAAAAACTGTTAGCCATTTTCAATAACATTTCTTACATCACATAGGGATACACATAATTTAGTTATTAACTAATTTATTCTCAAAATGAGAGAATTGTATTCTTTGTAGGCCAGAGGGAGTAGTAGCTATGTGTTCATTAAGGTTTGTTTTGGTCAAAGAGCATGAGAGGAGGATTTCTCCATCATGTTTTTAAAATATAGGATGGCTTCATTTTTTTTTTACGATTACATAGTACAACTCAGTCACTCACAACGCACGCACACTCACCCCTATAAACACACGTCCGCAAAACCCTACCCCTATAAGCATCTTTGAAGACCGGGCCGGCCAATCATCGAGATTGACGAAGTCACCATAGATGTTTCGCTGTCAACGAGAACGTTGTCTAACACTAAAAGCACAAATGATGTTAATTCTTAAAAATTCGCTCACATAGAGAGTCGAACTCAGGACCTGAGGTGCTACTGGGGCTCTTATGACCTCTAGGCTACATGCCCTTTTGCTAGATGGCTTTATCCTAGTCTAGATTTCGGGCCCACTTACATCCTCACATTCCAAGTGTGAGGGCCGCGTCTAGGGACAAAATAGGATATCGTTAGCATTAATAACATACGAGAAAATATCTTCTCAGTATGAGCCACTCCATCCTCCCATTTACCTCCACCAAATACTTGAAAAAATAGTATGGAACTATCCTAATCTTGGGCATGCCTTCAACTAACACACATGTATGAAGTGATGACCGACCAACCAATTCGATTCATCAAACAATATGTCTCATAGAGTTTCACTAGAAAATCCCAAAACTAAGAAAGCCAAAAGAACACTTTGACCACTACAGTAGGGGGTTGTTTGGATACAATAAACTAATTGTTACTCATCTACACTTCAGTCTTAGTTCATCCAAACACTTGGACTAATAGGTGAACCAAATTTTAGTTCAACTCCAACTAGCTGTGTGTTCACTAGTTGGCCAAACTAAGCTAATTCAGACTTAAAATTGATACAGAACGTGAAAAAGACGTAAATATCCTCCCACATACCTCTTTTTCTTTCCTCTCCCCCATATGCAACAAGTTAGCGTAGTCTATCATGACTCATTTAAAATTTAGTTGGTAATACAACACCGCTCAGCTAAACGTTAGTCCAACTAGATTTCAATCTAACTAAACTTTATTTTTAGGCGATCCAAATAGGCACTTAGTAATCAAAATGCTATTGGAATATTTGGTTTGAATCCAATGGATCAAGCATTTTTAGATTAGGGTATGTTTGACAGAGCTCCAAGTTAAAAAAAACATATATGGAGCACTAGATTCACCATGACGTAGCTCCAACGAGGATCTAGGCTCCTACCAATGTATTTGGTAGAGCTCCACCGTTGATCTAGACTAATATGCAACTGTAAACGCATATCAAGGGGCATAATAAAAAATACAAAAAATCATGGGCTTCTTCTTTCTCTGGGAGGGCCGGAGCATGCGTGCGCAGGACGGCGCGTCGAAGTACTCTTGTCGGCGACCGGGGTTGCGCACCCATCCGCCCATGAAAACCTGATCAGGAATCCTACGAGCTCGTCGAGGCGTGTGCCAAGCACGTTGAAGCAGTAAGGCGCCCGACATCGCGAGGATTCCTGTGGTTTTCAAAGCACCCTTCAGGACTTGAGCTACCAAAACTCTTCCAAATAGACCCTTAGCATGCGGTTAATGTAGATCTTGATTATTGCACGTCATTTTACAATCATGGGGTTATGTTTTTCTCTAGTCAAAAAGAAAATTGTGGGGGTTTCTCTACTCGAAAAAAGAAATTTGTGGGAATTTATGAATCATATATACTCAGCCTGTTCGCTTGTTGGTTTCAGCTAAGACTTATCAGCCAGCCAACAATATTTTTATCTCACAACAAACCAGCACCAACCGGACTTATCAATCCAAAAACCAACTAGCGAATAGGCTGCCTATCCGCATGACATATATTCTCATCGCACCTGCATGCACGTACTGGTTGAGTTGCAGTAGAGTAAGGTTAATATACCAAAGCGGCAAGGGCTCATCTGCAAAGTCGACCGACCCCACGAGGCCGGAAGAGCATAGAAGGTGGGCCATCCGAAGGGCTGTATAGGCCGGTCGCCTTGCTGTACTGTACGAGTAGGCTGTAGCTGTAGCCATTGCAGGTGGGGCACGTGCGCGGCATGATTTGGGCCACCCGCCGGCGCCCAAGTGGAAACCGCTTGCTGCAGAAGCAGAACCTCCGCGGGGCCCGGCTTTCAGCGGCCACGGGCGCACGGCTTTGTGGTACTGGTACCCGGTACTCCCAAGCCCCAAGGTTCCGTTCAATCGTTCGCCTCGGTTCCCGGGGGCGACGCCGCGGTTGGGGCCCGCGGGGCAGCGGGGCCACGACGTGCGCGCTTTTGCCCCGATGCGCCCTGCCCTGCTGGCGCCTAGCAGCGCTGCGGCTTCTGCGCCATTGGTTGCTTTGACCGATGCGGTTGACTCCTCGTTGTCCGGCACTTGCTCCGTTGGACTCGGCGCACGGATCGTCTCGGCAGAGTAGAGTACAGTACCCCTCAGAATAAAAAAACGCACATTTCATTTTTATAATGAGCCAAACTTTTCTACATTTTAATTAAATTAAATTTATAGAAAACGGTAGCATCAACATTTGTATCTATAGATTTATTTATTGTAAAAATTTATAGAAAATGTTTTTTTAGAACATAGTAATTTGGATGAATGGATGGCTAAGCTCTCTAAGGGACAAGCCCCTTGCCTAGGCTAAGGCTTTTGTTCTCCAAGTCGACAATAATAGCATTTCTATCTGTAGGTATTGTACACGATAGATGTAGATATGTGTATAGAAATTTGACGTGTGGATGTAGATACAAATAAGTATAAGATTATATATCCTTTTGGTATGGGTATATAAGTATATCGCTGACGTGTGGATGTAGATACAAATAAGTATAAGATCATATATCCTTTTGGTATTTTTTTTGAAAACCTCTCATCTGGGTACAGCAGTAGATTTTGTTCATGCACGAACACACACCCCACACACACCACACGTACACAACTAGATCTACAACTACACGTAGATAGGAAGACCGCGTCCTTCTTGAGATCACCGGAATCATCAATGACTCCGTAGGCGACGGGCGCATCGCATTCCCTTTGTGGCTCCACGCGATAGAGGTTGTAGATAAATTTTGGGAATAAATCCCGGTGAGAGACACGAGTCGAATCCAGGATTCGAACTCACGCGCGGCAGCGAGCACACCTGGCTCAGCTAGCCACCCGAGCCAAGCTCGGTTCTCTCCTTTTGGTATATGGGTATATGAGTATATCGCTTTACCTATTGGTGCTTCAACTACATGGGATTTTGAAATAATATAGTCGAACTCAAGGGTCTCACTGTTCACTTACATGATTCTTTGGCCCCAACGAGTGTGTAAATGATACACAGTGGCTTGCCGTGTCCGTTTAATCACTGTTTCCGTTTAACCTCAATAAATAGCTAAATGATAGGTGACCGTTCAGTCCGTTTAAACGTTTAGGCTAATGTTA